ATCTCTCTATCTAACCTTTATGAGCCAAGATCCAGCTCCACTCAATTAAGCCCAGCCTTGCCTTTTGAACTGTCGTCTTGAAGGGTTTCTGCTAGCTGCACTGTTCTCAAGCTGCGGGGGGAAACCTATTTGCCTCTGCTAATCCTCTTTTCCTGCCTTTTTTCTCCTTTTTCTCTATGCCTGTCTGTGTTTTCCTTTCCTCCTTATTTTCCTCCTCCTATTTCTTCTCTCTTTATCAGTTCCAGCCCTGTTGAACATAAGCTCTTATGTGAGTGACACCTTTGCCAAAATCAGCTGGACTGCCAGAGAAGAGCAGCAGGACTCGCAGCTTTATGTGGCTTATATGAATAACCGTAAGCTACTTTTCCTGTCCCCGCCTTGCTAAACATTTACATGAATTTTAGGTGGCATCGTGTTAAGGTGTAACTAGGAGGTTTTATATAAACATCTAAAAATATGTTATAAGCCTAAAGTCTGCTTGGCTCCTTCCATCATTTCCACGATTGCCTCAGAATGTATTAAGATGTATTCAAAGTTATATATAGTCCAACAAATACATTTAATAACTTAAGAACCATTTATTACATGGCAACAGCTCATCCTATCTTCTTTTTCGATAGCATGAATGCTAATACAGACTTGCTGCTTGTGCACTTCTTGTGCTTGGCTGTGCAGGAGATGGTAACTGGCGGATTTCAGAGGCTGTAAACACTTCTCAAAGTTTCCACATAATTGATGGGCTCAAACCCGGAGCGGTGTACACCGTACGCCTCATGGCCAAGAGGCTGCTCGATAACGCTAGCATTTTTGAAGACGTTATCCAGACTCGAGTCAAAGGTGAGAGGAGAAAAAAGTGACGCAGTTGATAGAGTTTAGTGATTTGGCTTCTAACCTGCAATAACAATATAAGCATATCATCAACAAATTGATATTGACTGAGGTGAATGTGTGCGTCTGTTTATTTGTCTTGTATCTCTGTTCATTTGTTTTGTTTTCTTCCTATCTAATATTCTTTCAGAAGAGATATAGAGTGTTATAGCTGAAGGGAATGTGAGTCAAATACGACGTGAGAACATCTTCTCAGACTAGAATCTATCATGTTTTTCTGTTTTCAGTCAAATATAAAGTTGTATGAAGAGTGCTTGAGGGGACTGCCATATTCAAATACACCAATGTGTAAAGACAACCCTTGAGCTCTGTGTGTCTTTGCTGTTTTTGTTCTCAGGTGCAGAAGGTCGGCGAGGCGACTTATCAACCCAGGGCTGGTTCATTGGGACCATGTGTGCTGTGGCACTCCTCACCCTCGTTGCTCTCATGGCCTGCTTTGTGCGGAGAAACAAAGGTGGCAAGTATGCAGGTACGCCGCCGCCACCACAGCGTCAAGACATGTTCTCCATGGAAAAAGGTCAGTTAGTATTTGACCAGGGTTGGGTCCCCTTGTTGTTTTGCTTCAGGAAGTGAATCAAATTTGAACTTTGAAGACACCAATCTGACTTGGTTATAAGAAGCTTAATTTTTGTCTAAATTTTCACCAGTTTATCAGGATGATACTTTGTTTTGACTTTTGAAATGATTTTGGTTGACTTCCTGAAAGAATTAAAATCTGCAACGGGCCTCAACCCTGACCCCTACCCTGTTTGGAAAAGCAATTAGCATGCACGTTGGACACCCACGCATGCTCACCCTGCCCCCAATATCACTAACCCCAAATGAACTTGTCTATGACATGCTTGCAGCTAGTCTAGATTTACTGCATGCATAATAATTTGTGTGGCCCGTTAGTTCTGCCTGGTACCTCTGATTACATATCATGTCAAGCCAGACGAGTGGGAATCAGCTGGCTTTGTTCCACACCTCCCCACCCCTCACCTGTGCAGACATTCCTGGCTCTTCCCCTGCTCTTTTGTGCTACCTCGTATCAGAGCCAAATTCAGTCACAATGGTACATACCTGCAAAGTGTCTCCTCACTCGGTTTCTTTCCTCTCAACCTGCTTTCCCGTCGTCTCCCCACCACTCGTCTCCCCACCACTGCAGTAGCTTTTGACATGAAGCACTGAATATTTCATCAGCTTCTTTGGATTCCCCCTTTGCCCATCTTGCTTTTTTCATAAAACCCTTCTTTTGTCTCTCTTGAAAGCAACTGGTATTTTTTTAAAGCATATTTACTCAAAGACCTGATGTGTAGCACTTTGTGAGAAGCTTTCACTGTACAGACTAGATATAATGTTTACACAGTCATATAACTCTTACATACCATACACACGTAATGTAAAAATTCTAATAATTTTTTTCTGTACATCTGAGGTTGATTAAAACCAGCAAAATACAGCTGCTACTGTTTGAGTTATTTCCCTTTGGTAAATGTTAAAGACAGGAATCTTATAGTTATTTGAATTCGAAGCATTACCAATTATTTTATGTCCCAACGGTGCAAGTAATATGTAATTACATCTATGGATGAAAGTGCTACTCTTTAACAATGGTCCTAAGATGTCTTTCCTGCCCCCTTTGCAGTGAAAGAGAAGGAAGACCTCCACCCTGACGTGGAGTCACACAGAATGAATGATGACACCTTCTGTGAATACAGGTGAGCCGTACTCCTGCTCTGCAGAGGAAAGCTGCAGTGCCAAAGTGTGCTGAGGAAATGACATTTTTTATCTCCTCCAAATGCATTCTGTTGTAGCAATATTAATCTAACAAGCGTATGTTAAATATTTTCTGGCTGTGAAACTCATTTTTCATGTGTCACAGTAATGTTTTCTCTCCCGTCCCAAAAGCAAACAATGCATTCATGAGCTTTACCAGGATCAGCCTAGAAGCCACTGTTCTCGTCAAGTAATGGGCTAGGTAATCAAACGGTGTGGTTAAGAGTAGTGGGTAACAAAATCTTTGCTCCCCTTTAGTTGAAAGTATGTGCTTTTACTTTGTTGTCAGATTCTGATTTAAGTGTGTGAGTCAGCTTGGTCCTGTAGGCATCAGTAGGTTTTGTGTTACAATGTGTGTGTGTGTGGGTGTGTATATGAATGAATTTTTTTATATTCAACTGTCATACACCCAAAGGTGCCCAGCCGTTACCTTCACAACACATTATATCAGATACAAACTTGAATTTAACATCAGTGTTCTCATAATTTAACAACAACCGATACATGTCAAATATATGTATACATGTAATGTAATATACATTCATCTGTCATATCAAACATACATTTTCAGGAAAAGCTTTATGTGAAGCTCATGATAATAGGACAATAGAATATAAAATGCAGTTCATTCTCGGCCTCATCCAAATCACTTAAGTGACACTTTCTGTCCTCCTCTGGGACTGAAGGAAAGCATCCAATTTCCACAACCAAAGGAAGGATGCCTGATTTTAAGCCCAAATAGACCCTGGAGCTCTGGTCAGGTTAAGGGAGATATATTGCCTGGTTTGTGTGCTTATATACATGCATATACACTCATTCTGTGTCAAGGGATGTTGCATAATTTATTATATGTAAGAATAATAAATATGTAATGTCTGGTTACACTTTGAAAATAAAGCTTGCTGAGGTAGCAATTTTAGTTTAGGAAACTAAACTAATTGGTTAGGGTTTGAAAAAGATTGTACTTGACAAGCCAACATTGACATTTGGTTTCACTCGGGACTCTTGGGAGAAAGTCCTGTGTGTTTAAACCTCCTCCAAATGTAGTCTTTGTCGCTCTTTATACTGCTGCTGGTGCTGCACCTTGAGAAACGCGTGTAGTTTCTGGGGGAGTCAAAACTTAAAGTAAGACACGGTATTCTCTGCTAAATAGGCGGGTCTGTTACACGGTTTGGCCATGAGACTGAGCTGTACATGCACCTAATATATAGTCAGAATTGCTAAATCAAAATCTTTGACTAGTGTTGGTAGAAAAAGGTAACAAAAGCAAAGAAACATGGCAGTAATGTATAGGATATAGCTGAAGACGTCTAAAGGTGCGGCCAGTCCAGCCTTCAGCCCATAAAGACTTCTTTCCACTCTGAACTGAATAGATGAGATGTCACGAGTCCAACATGTGTATTAAATATGCAAAAATAAACTCGTGTCATTTTGAGTTAATATCTGATGAAGAATATCTGATGTTTTGAATATGTAATTGCTTGTTTAGTTGTTTAGTTAGTTTATCATTTATCGCAGGCTGGAGCTCGCAAACAAAATTAAATTCAGCAGTCGCTGGTGCTTTACTTGAAGTGAATTGCAGGATGGAGCAAAAAGATTGGTGGTACTGTTCCACCACTTTGCAACCAAGACATATCTTAGACAACAGCTGTAATGCTATTAATTATTTAAGCTCTTAAATCAGCTATCGAGGTTATGTGTTAGCCACCTCTAATGTAGAAGAAATGTATTTGAGGAGACTGGGTGTTAGTGAAACATGAAATGCTGCTGTAGTGCCTAGTTGCTTATCTGGTGTTGTGACAGACTTAGATTAAGACGTATTCAGTGGAGTATCTACAATACAGGCCACATTTTTAATTTCAACAGAGGACGCTTCGACTGCAGACACACACATTGATTCTGGGTGTACATTAATTGCTGATGGAAAATATCTTAGATTCAATAAAAAAGGCATAAACTAAGCATGGTAAATGGGTGGGAAAACTGAGCCTTTAAGCCAGAAGCAGAGAGCTGTTGTACTTTATAATAGCTGTTGAATTTCCATTGTTTGCATTGTTTAGCTGCTACGGTGACAGTTTAGGGAAATCAACTGAATCCTATTTTGCTTGACAGCACTGCAGCAACTGTGTGACAATGCCGTGTTTGTTTGTGCACACGCAACAGAAATCACCTAAAATAGCCTCTTCTGTCTGCTTTGATTCTGCTCGTCATCATATTATTTAGAACATGATTACTCACAATTGGGCGGTTCCTGCCAATTGCCTCCTAAGTTTCTTGCCAAGACTGAGTCTGTTTAACAACGAAGAATGCATTGTCTCCAGTCCTGTTTATAGATTATATCATAGATTATAGATTCATTTAAAGATGTAATGAATAACTTTTTACTGTCCCATAGCTCCAAATGACGATGTTTGTGTAAAATATGGGATATGGGATAGGGCTGTTGATCAGTATTGCTGTACATATGCTGAGACAGCTTTCAAACACACCTATCAAGCAGTGCTTATATGATCATATTATGGCGATTAGTTATTGAGTTTTTTGTTTTACATGTGTGTGATTCATTACAGTGGATGATGGTTTTATTGTATTTACTATCAATTTTTGGATGATGTAATTTGCCACAGTTGTGATATATACATTAATAATGTGGTATTGATTTTAGCTCTGATACCAAGATTACTTTGGAGCTTATCAGACAGAAGAAGCTGTGATAATATGAGTTGGTGCAGATGTTTGGCTCCGACTATCTGTTTAGAATGCCTCTCATGGTTGGTTTCATGAGGCTGTTCTGACTACTGTCCCCCCAGAGTGCCCTTAGCCTCACTATGATGTTGTTTTCCTGGCTTTAGAGCTGGATTCAGGGCTCTCTTGTGCCCTTTGAATCTCTAATGGCAATAGACCACCCACTGGTATGTCACGTGTCTGGGGAGCTGACAAGTGGTAATTATGCTTCAGACGATTTCTCTTTTGAGACAGCCCTCTGCTGCCTTGCCCCTCTGTCCACTGCTAGAACAGCAGGTGTCATAGCTGGAGTAGGCTGTTAGCCAATAGTGTGATGCAATTTCTTCCTCAGCTACTTTATCTGTTGTTGTTTTTGTTTACCGCCACTCATTTCCCCCCTAATCTTAGCTCTCCTCCTTTCATATTTTATATGCAATTGGGGAGATGGCAGCAGATGTGGTAAGGTTTTTCTTCTTGCAAAGAGGGAGGGGGAAAAAAAACCTCCTTCTACCTGAAGTTTTTGTGCTGCCCCAGCATGGGTCAATGGCAAGACAAATTTAATTACCTTCTGTCTGGTGATGTGCCTCCATCGCTCACCTGTTTGTGAGGCCCAAGGAACTGGCTGCGACTGAGCTGGAACCCGACCAAGGTACTGACGGAGAGCCGGGGCTCAAAAGCACTCAGACCCATTTTATCACTGTATTCAAAGTCACTGTGGGCGTGCTGCAGCGCCATTCCACTGCTCTTAGATAACAGCCACTTATCTTCAGCGCTCTAGAGTCGTCAGAGAACGAAGGTTTGATAAGAGTTGAAATGCGGACCTTATGTGGCTTGCATGGTAAACAGCCTCATGAAATAGAACGGATAAGATTGGTTATTAAAAATCCCAGTGAAGGAGACCCAATTTGTAATCTTAGCTTGAACCTTTCTCCTGTGCTAAAATGCTGCTCAAAATATCAAGCTTGTATTTGACACAGGTGTCAACTACAGTACGCCTCAAATGGCCCTATCACACGCCAGCCACCTGAGCGCCGTCTCTGAACGCAGGCGCTCTGTGTTATGAATACTAAACCAAAGGAGAGAAAGAGGGGTTACCAAACATGGATGGTTTAGGGAATTAGAAAAGAGGACAGGGAGGAAAAATATCCTCAGCGTTTTGAGGTGACCCCGCGTCTTGTACTGAGACACCTGCGAGTTGGCCAGTTGCCCGGCCCTTAAATTGGCATCTAATCTCCTCAGCCCGCGTGTGGGCCCCTCGGGAATACCAGGAATGACAGGCTGTTTGTCTGGGATTGCATATGCCCCCCAATCTCTTTTGCTCTCCCCACACACACATACACACATATACACACCTCCCACTCGTCGTCTTTCTCACTGCACACTGGCAATTTCCATCGCTGGTTCTAAAGAGATTTGAAATTGCCTTTGGTCCTGAAGCCTTGGCAATTAGCAATTAGTGAAGTGATTGTAGCAAGCCCTCTCCGCCTCCCTTGTGCTCCCTTTCCTACTGTGCAGCCGCCGCATCCACCCCTGCCTACCGCCTGTAGTGATGTATTGAAACCATAAGAACTTTGTGTGTGTGTGTGTGTGTGTTCGTGCAGCCAAGCATTTAATAGTCTATATGTACTGTACAGGCTCTGTAGGCTGTCTAGCTTTTGGTTATGTGTGATATTGTGTGTCAACAGCCTCTTAGGGCCACATGTGTTGCTTTTGAACATCTGCCTGATGTACTATACAATGTTTTTGTTTATTCACTGCATCACTGACCCCGGCCATCCTTCTCTGTTGTTGATGGCAGTGACAGCGACGAGAAGCCACTGAAGGGCGGGAGCTTGTGTTCTCTGAATGGCGATGGCGCGTTGGGGGACAGCATCAGCAGAGACAGCCTGGTTGACTATGCGGACGGGGAAGGAGAATTCAATGAGGATGGTTCATTTATCGGAGAATATTCCGGACGAAAGCACAGAGGCTCTGTTAGTGAGCCCAGTGGACCCAGCCCAGTCACTGCATAAAGCCAGGCTCCAGTTGAAACGGTCTACTTCAAATCCTTTCAAGATACTTTTATAAATTCAGCTTCTGTGGCATTAAATATAGCTTGAATAGCCAAATATGGGGGAATAAAAATGACTCAAATGTGCAGGCTGTTTTTTTTTATTTTTACATTAGGCAGACGTTTTGCCCTGGGACTGGAAAAGAAATAATAAATCCACCATACACATCCATGTGAATACCATGCATGTCTTTGTACATACTGTGAGAGAATGAGCTGTATCATTTGAGTGATTCATGATTTTATTAATGATAATAAAGTGTTTTTTATACCTACTATCAGCCACAATCTGCAGCGGTGTACTTTAATTTTGTTCTTTCACAAAGATCAGCAATTATTTTCCATGATGTAAAAAGCACTGATCACCATTTCCTTACACTGTGGATGAGAATAACACATACAGTAGAGATATATTATATATTATTATAACAATACTGATGATACCTTTTATAACATTAAACATATTTTTGAGCTTTTTTTTTAAATAAAGCAGAGCACAGCATGAGCATCAGAACAACATGAACACAAGAGCAGTATCAAAAAGTATCAAATTAGCAAACCATGCCCCTTGGGAATTTCAGCATGGCCACATGAGTTGTTTAGCAAGAAGGTTAAAGTGAAAAGTGCATTGCTGCATTTATATATGGAGGGTAATCATGAATACATCAAAAAACTCGTCAAAACTAAAATTTGTGAATGAGGCCTTAGGCGAAAGATTTCACCGAAGGACCTACGTTTGAAACTAAAGCAATTTTTTTTAATCATGCGCCATTATTGTGCTTGATATCACAGGGTGAATAACCCTGCATCCCTTTAAAATTATCAGGCAGCTCTGCTATTTATTATCTTAAAATTGTTAGTTGGGTACTTCCTTTCCAGTCTTTTTTTAACTTGCAGTGATTCATCAGTTTCTATTTGCTGCTCCTTCTCTGTAATTTCAAAAGCACACACTTAGATGGTAAGCTAAGTGGAGATGTCCTTCCACTGAACATGGAATGTGAATACACTATAACAAAAATTCCTTCCTTGTCTTAGGGTTTTCCAAAATTATACAGTTTGTTCACAAATTAAGCACAGAGTGATATTGGATGGTTACAAACAGGACTGAATCAAGCTTTTTATCCTTAAAGGTCAAATGCATTGCAAAATCCCGCAAAATATTTTTCCCGGTATCTCTGCAATACACGCCGTGAATCTTCACATGCATAATGCACGTTGCTAAAATATTCATCAAAGATACAACTCAAATAAAGAAAGAGATGTGACCTATTCAACAATCTTACTTACACAGATGTGTTAAAACAGGAGACAGCAGTGTTGCTGGCTACAAAGTACTAAATGTTTCATTGACTATGGGCTCTTTTAAGATACAAAGTCCTCTTTAAAAGCAAAGAAGATTCTTAAAAAACAATGAGATCCGGTTTGATGTGTAACTTTGTCGACAATAAAGAGATTTATTCAAACAAAAGAGGAAAAAAAAGCCATATGACAGAAAGTTTAGCTAGTCAACACTGTAGTCAATCTCTTTGCCGTTACAGGGAAATCTTTTAAAGGTTCAGATAATTGGAGCCAGGTCCCAAGGCTCCAATTATCTGAACCAAAGCGCTGCACGCTCTCCCATTCAATTTCTAAGGGGAAAATATAGCACCTTTGATGAGGCAGAAATCCCAGCTAACGAAGATGGGAGATGATCGACTCATCCGTCATTTGGTGGGAGCCTCTTTAAATCCCTCTGAAACAGCCCAGCTACCCCTCCGATTGACTCCACTGTTTTTCAGCCTTTCAATAAAAATGCTCAGCGGTTCATAAGGACATTTTTTTTCCATATTAACCATATTTGTTGGTCCCAAAATGAACCGAAAGCTAACAACCATGCACACAGTTAGAAAATATCCTCTGTCACAGTCTGATAATGTACTAAAGGACAAGCCTTTACAGAACAACAATGTTTATTTGACTTAATTTCAGCTTGTTCAAATCCTTTCACCTCTTTCACTGGACTTCCTGCATATCTCTAAAATACCTCGGAGGCCCTTATCTTCCATTTGAAATTTACAGCCTTTGTGCAGCTGTATAGTCTGTCTATAGCCTGGCATTGTAGCTGTAATCAAGCCGGACTTGGGATACTGGAGTTGAAAAGCACTCCATGCCTCATGGCAAGATAAAGGTCATTTAAAGAGATAATCCCTGTATTGTCAGGGATTACGCCCTCATCCTTTTTAAAATTGCTTTCTCCGTGGAACGTTAAAACCTCTAAACAACAACAAAAGATTACTCTAGTCAAAGCCCCCCAGAGTGTCACACAAGCAGCTTTTTTCCTCCACTAAATCAATTTCGGGAATGTGCAGGTGACCCTTTCAAAAGTCAAAATAGCCTTAGTTTGGATAGAGCGACGGTCAAGATGTTAACATCGCCTGAATCCACGTTGAATGGAACAGCCTTGTTTGTTGCATGATGTTTTGCCCATGTTATCACCAGCGGATGCTGCACACTCACACACAACTCTGAGCCCAAAGCGGATCACTTCCTTTCAGTCGATTTGATCGGAGCTGATATTTAGGCTAAGTGCCTTGGAAATTGCCTGGTGGGAGGAAATCGATAGCATACTCACACATGCTGCGAGTTCAACCCAGTAACCACCATGGGCTGTAATCACTCAGTGTTGCATCAACTTTAAACCAACTGAAGACGCTGCAAGAACAAAACAAAACAGTAGCATACGGGGGAAGATTTGCAGTTTTTCAGGGTGCAAGATACTGAGTCTGTGCTGTAACTGCCCAGTAAAGAAGAAGGTAGCGTGGCCATGTAGATCTCATCAATAATAAACACTGCCGGGTTCACTGGAAGGGGAATTGTGACAGGTGTTTCCGGACATGCTCTTATGGAAGACCTTCTTCTCCTTGGCAGCTTTTGAAGAGTGCAGTTAAAGCATTTGCGGAGAAATTGGTATCAGGAGTTAAACCACTGTCACGGCTCCTGCTTTTTTTTAAAGGGACAAGCAGTCACTCGGTCCTATTGAGAGCGACACACAAACTCTCTCAAGGACAAGCTTTGAGCACTTTACCAGAGAAAGGGGTTAAGGGTGGGTGGAGAAAACGGTGGTTGGGTATTGAAGGTTATTTGAATGCACTCTCTTTATTCAGCAACATTGCAGATGAAGAAAAGGAGCTCAGAAAGCCGGCTCATGACCTTGAATCACAGTCAGAGTGACAGTGTTTTATCTTCTATATTCTTCCAATGGCCTTCACTCTTTGTCTGCACTTTTTTAAAAGTGGATGTGGGATGAATGCCCGGGCTTACCTTTTTTTATAAAATCCAAAGCCGACTAACAAGAAAAAAGACACAGCAAGACGAGCAAGACATCAACATCTAGACAGGTATTCAAGCTGTTGTTGCCTTTCAATAAATCTTGCTAACCTGTAGCTTCTGTTGATTCCATATACAAAAAACTTAAATACATTTAAATGTATCAAAAGCTAAAATCAAAGTTGTCCACCATCGCAATAACACCCTGAAAAACTCCCATCTAATTTAGGTCTCAGGCGTCCACCTCCCTTTTCTGCTCATTCTTTTGTCATCCCAACATGGTGCTATACTCACCTTCTGCTCAAATTTAATTTGTCTCACTAGAATGCAAATGGAATGGAATGATTCTGCATACAGAGAATCCTTTTAGAGGGCTATTATTTCCCTGGTAAACTGCTTTAGATGCAAGCCCAGACACTCTCAAATGCCAGCCAGCAATTGAGTGGATGTTTGTGCATGTGTGTGTGTGTGCTTGTGCGTGTGTGAGACAGGGTATGAGTAGAGCAGGAGGATGCAGAGACACTCAGCCATGGCAGAAACTAATGAGACATGCATTGGTAATATGATTACAAAGTCAGCCTGGCTATGTCAGAGACCAGGGGGGCGCCTAAGAGACATCTGCACAGGACAAAGTGGACACTGGGATGTTCAGTTGTACTGAGTCTGCATTACATTACTGTTCCTGTAAGTGATTGGCAGCCATAGCAGAAGATAATATGATGCTCACACTGGTTGTCATTCAGATAGTAAGAACACTTACATCAAGGAAATGGAGCTTGATGAATGATGATATGAAACAACTCAGGTGTGCGTACCGTTCGGGCCCTTTTAGGTCAACACGTCTTGAGTTTGATCCAGCAAAGGATTTCATCTAGACTACTGCTGGAGGATTAGATAAGAGACTTGTAAGTGCTGTGTGGGTGGTGAATAATTCTCACCTTTCTTTCTTAGCCCGGGGCTGTCAAAGCAAAAAACTTGGCACAAACCACAATCTATACACAATACGCAAGTCTGCTTAAAGTCCCTGCGACAGAACCATGTGAAAAATGGCATCCGTAAATTGCACAGCTGAATTCGGAACATAATCAAAAAATTGTGTTTGAACACTCTACCTGCTCACCTGCAGTGATGGTTTTAATGTTATTTTTAGTGCATCAAAATGCTTGTTAATAACAATTCAATTGGTCTATTTTAAAAAACAGAACACAAGTGCAGTAGAGTGTTTCTTTTTTTTCTTTTTCTTTGTAGGCAGTAATCAGACTCTGGTACTGTACAAACAACCCCGGAAAAAGACAAATTGAGTTTGAAACCTTATCCTGATATCCGGTTTTAGTCTTAAGTACGAAAGGTTGGTGGCGGCAAGACAGAAGTGCATCTCCTGTACTTTGCAAACTAATTAAATGTGTTATTTCAATTTGCTGAGGTCTGTTAATAAGCAAATGATGAGCAGCCCTGGATATCAAACAGAAGGGAGAGATACTTCAACGTCAGTTTTTATTTTTCCAAAGCAATTCTTTTTCTATGAATTTGTTCCTGCGGTGTGTTTCTCATGGAACACCACTCTTGAATTATTCATGAAGCCTTCATTAAAACACCTCCATTTGCATAACACACACAGGGCCGCATAAGATGCATTAGGGCGTTTGATCCTGGTGTACATGTCAAATAATTTAACACAGAACTGGACCGCCAGAGAGCCCAGAAACACGGACCTTTAAATGTCTCAAAGTAAATTGATAATAAACCTTGCTCGGCTTAAAGTTTGAAATGAAAAATTATCATGCAGAGTTGTAAGTGGGTCAGAGTGGACCCCTTTGGTGCAGTAACCCACTTGAAGAAGTAAATAAAGTATGATAAAGGAGTTGTGATTCTGGAGGACATTAGTGTTTCTCTGGAGAAACTACTGCATTGTGATTTATTATAATAATTATTTTGATGGGGGCAATGACAGTTGTTTGTCAAATGTGGTT